TTTCTTCCTTTTTAGCCAAAGCTGTTTTACAGCACTGGCACACTGATAAGTCATATAAGTACCGTTGTAGTTTAGTTTTAGTAGAGGTTTTACGGCGCTCGCAACTGCATAAGGTCATAGGAGCGCCAGAAGATTAGAGGTAATAAATATCTCTGTATGAAAATGTTGAAATTGAACATTATAATGATTAACAGGATTGGGTTATTCCAAAGGCGGGACCTCCGAGTTTAACGTCCATTTCCGAAAGGAACGAGCCAAGTGGGAAATTCGTTTAAAGTGCCTTTCCCAAGGACATAACGTCGGACCGAGCAGAGGCTCGAACTCCGAACCCAGAGGAGGGGGCACAGGAGGTGAGGGGGTGGGGGCAGAAAGTGGAAATGAAAGCAGACAACAGAACATTGCTAGAGAGCAGGAAAGAAGGTGAAAAGAGACCATTTTAGAGAAGAAAATTTTTCGGTCGCTACCCAGATTCGAACCCGGGACCTTTGAATGAGAGGCCAACACCTTTACCTCTAGGCCACGAGAGCCCCCTCTTGCTGAGTTTGATATTTAGATATATCTATTTCCCATTTTGCATTGTCTCCGCCAGTACGCAGAATAGAGAAAGTCCTAACTCAATAACAGCCCCGCTGTCAAACTAAAGGCCTGCGGGCCACATTCAGCCCGGCGAACAATAATATTATGTACATGCAGTCCACGCAACTAAAACTGCAGTGCTTTGTCATTCATGCGGATTTTTCAACTCCTTTAAAAAGAAAAGAAAATGTTGGTATGTTGTTACATCTTCAGGCTTGCCAACTTTTGAGATACTGAATTCTGGAATTTTGATTGCTCCTGAGCGTCACGGACAAACTTCTGTGATAGGCTGCTAAAAAACCCCACCCATACCACAAATACGGCTCAAACAAACCAGTGGAGAAACAGAGAGAGAGAGAGAGAGAAGAGAAGAGAGAGAGAGAGAGGGAGAGAGAGAGAGAGACACACACACACACACACACACACACACACACACACACACACACACACACACACGAGCACAGACATACACATACACACGTACACACACACACACACAGACACACAAACACACATCCACACACAAAAATAACAGAACCAACAAACCTGGACCGGTGTCTACAATGGTGGCAGGGAACTGACACCTGACCACGAAAGGATCCACACCTCCAGGGCCGTCAGGGTCGATAGTGAACACCCCGTTGATGACATCTGCCTCTCCCTCCACTGCCAGACCTCCGTCGATGAACTGTTTCAGCATGGCGCATGTGGGGAACACCTCTGTGAACGGTCAGACAGTGTGGTTGACTTTTTTTCATTTGAATGATACAGTTTTAGTTGAAGTTGTTCTGTTGTAGTTTTAGATTTGTTTAGCTTTGTTGTTGTTTTGTTGTTGTTGGGGGCTTTTTTTTTTACTAAGCTATTTTTTGTATTCCTTAGTTGTGTTTTTTTCTATTAAGTTGCAACACAGTAAGGTCGTATACGTTCGAAATATTAGTTAGTTGAGAGTAACAGCCAAAGAAAAGAAGGGGGGCAGGTAGGATTGATATACTTTGAGAGGTAAATGTAGGAGCAAACAATACAAGAGCACTGACCAAAAACCACCAGTTTGGGATTGATTGATTTATCAGGTTTGTGCTTCGTTAGCAAATCGTTGGCAACCTGTTTATGTCGTAAGTCCAGAAAGTATAATTTTGCAGTAGAGAGAAACACAATTTCACTTTTCTAAACGATTGTGTCGACGATTTCGCTTTTTTCATGTTTCTTAATATATTTAGCGTTTAGGTTTCTAATTTCGACAACGTATTTCTTGAGCCATGCAACCGATACTACTGATTAAGAAACTTCAATAAAAAGAACCCACCCCTCAAAAAAAATAAGAAAAAGGGAAAAAAATTGGGGGCCAAGTAAGTCTGAACAGCTAGCCAACGGAATAGTTTATTGTAATGATAGTTTAACTTTTAGTGTGAGTAAAGAAAAGACACAGACACAAAAGTAGCCAGAGAGACAAACAGAAAGAACAACTGACAAGAATCCACTTGCATTGGAAAGGACTCTGTGGTGATAGAAAGCAAATAATTAACTTGAAAGAAACGGTGGAAGAGGCAATGTTAGGTTAGATTATAGTGTTAAGCTCTGCCATAACAGGAGTTGAACCTTGCCCTTCTTGGTAATGTACAACGCTTTTTACCTCTGCCATAACAGGAGTTGAACCTTGCCCTTCTTGGTAATGTACAATGCTTTTTACCTCTGCCATAACAGGAGTTGAACCTTGCCCTTCTTGGTAATGTACAATGCTTTTTACCTCTGCCATAACAGGAGTTGAACCTTGCCCTTCTTGGTAGTGTACAATGCTTTTTACCTCTGCCATAACAGGAGTTGAACCTTGCCCTTCTTGATAATGTACAATGCTTTTTACCTCTGCCATAACAGGAGTTGAACCTTGCCCTTCTTGGTAATGTACAATGCTTTTTACCTCTGCCATAACTGGAGTTTAACCTTGCCCTTCTTGGTAGTGTACAATGCTTTTTACCTCTGCCATAACTGGAGTTGAACTTTGTACTTCTTACTGAAGTACAGTCTTTGTAGAATATTTTTCTCAGATATGCCCATAGACTATGAACAAGACAGCAGAAACATAATTTGTTGGTTACATGATAATTTATTTTGGATTCTGTTTAGAATTTGTGCTTCAAACATAGGAAGAATTAGCCATGAAAGAAACTGCATGAAGAAAACCTTGAGACCATCTTAAGCTAAGCTATATTGACCGTCTGCCTAGACGAAAAGAGCCATATATATTTTGGATTCTAGCGCTTTCAGAAGCACGCTCCTAAAAATGAATCACACTGTACTTAGGAGACCGAACGTAAAATCATGAGCTAAATACCAATAAATTACAAAGCTCCTACCGTGCGTAGGCATTTGGTGATCTATAAAGTTAAATCTATTTAAAGACTGCGCTTTTGACTATTATTATTTCTTAATCATGTTCACAGACATCAGCCCTACTTTGATTCTTGTGTTGGGGGAATTTTTTTTTATTGAGTATTACTTCTGGTACGTTGTATCCCTTTCAGCCCAGGTTGGCCCAGGCAGACAGTGCCAATGTCCGCCTTACAAATGTTCTAAAGTTTGTCCATAGAGGTGTAAAACAAATACATCAGAACGGCTGTGGATTTGAGCTGCGAGTACACCTACCTGAGCAGATCAAAGGTCCTAGAGAAATGGTGAGCTCTGCTTCGGCTGACTGTGAGAGAGTTTGGCCGAAGGACATGGATCTTACTGGAACCTCTATCAAGTCCTGCAAAACTGTTGTGTCATTTCTGGGAGAAATAGTATCAAGTGTAATTATGGGTCATGTTGGTTTAGGATATGATAGCCAAAATTGTGTGCAATATAGGAGGTACAGATGAGGAGGGAGGAGGACAACGAATTGTAATGATGAGAGTATAACGACGAGAACAATCTTCAGACAAAGACAAGACAACAACACGAATAAAAACAATAATAATAATAATAACAAAAATAATAAGAAGAAAAAGAACAATAATAATAATAATAATAACAACGATACTACACTATTGATGATGATGATGGTGATGATGATGATGATGATGATGATGATGATGATGATGATGATGATGATGATGATGATGATGATGATGATGATGACAATAATAATATTATTAATGATAATAATAATAATATGTTATACAATAACAATAATAATAATAATAATAATAATAATAATAATAATAATAATAATAATAATAATAATAATAATAATAATAATAATAATAATATCCATGCTCCACAGCGAGTTCTATGCCCTTTACAACTATCATAGGAAGAGCAGATGAGGAGGGAGGAAGGGGTGGGAGCATGCGTGTATCATGAGTGTCTAACGACGAAAACAATCTACAGAGAAACAGATAAGACAACAGAGTGAACATCAAAATTACTCTAACAACGGAAAAGGAAAATAAAAGGAAAGACATTTTCATTTTTATGATCTCAAGTTAATAATGCTGACATGTCTCATGCTTCTCTTTAACCTCATTATAAAAAACCCATAAGCCTACCCCACTTAATGAAAACCAAACCATCAACACCATCTCTACCCCCCCCAACCTTCCCAACCCGCAACCTTCCTTAATGAACGCTTCCCCGTCTTGTGTCCTTATTTATCATCATACAAAACACACCAGCCTACTCAAACTTAAATAAATAATGTTCCTGTAAACCATGCTTGGGCAAGCGTGTCCAAGTCGTTTGCCGATTTAAAAGATTCCGAATAATAGCTCACGGTCCAAAGCAAGGAGGACATTGTGTGGAATTGGTTGAAATACCTATAAAATAAGCTCTCAAAAGAGAGACTTGAACTTACATTATAGCAAATTTCTCACTCAAGAGCATTTATATGAGATCTGTTGCTTCCAGCTCAACCGAGAACTATTGGTTTTGATTATTTTCAAGACAAACAGTTTTGTTGTTCAATTCACCGCTGGCCAAATTCGTTATTTAATTATAGTAAATGGGTCGACTTGCGAGTCAGAGTAAAATTGCTCGCGGGCCATAGCTGGCCAGTGCGTGCTGTTAACATACATCAACAACAACAAGACGACAACAACAATAACAACAACTCATCCTCTCTCCTCACACATACACACACATACGCACAACCATACACACACATACACACACATACACCTATTCACTAACACATACATACACACACATACACATATACACTTACACACTTACACATATAGATTTACTCTTAGACACTTACACACTCAAGTACACAAACATACACACACGATAACACACACACACACACACACACACACACACACACACACACACACACACACACACACACACACACACACACACACACCCTCTCCTCTACACGTATCTCTGCACTCAACCCTAATAATACAATAGTATGCTTGCAATCAGAAACAGGTTCACAGTCAGATGCATAATAAAAATCAACTATAATTATGCTAAATAATAATCTGTATTCTGATTGCAACCCAAATATATTCTGATATTGCTTTAACGGTCATAGGAACACTTGTATCACAAGATGAATAAATATGATGGAAGGAGTTTAATGGGTGATAGTTAAAAATTATGACCTGCGTCTTTCCTTGTTACAGATCAGACGCCTAGATCTTTTACTTCTGCTTGATGTTTTTATTTGATAGAACAGAGAACAGTGGATATTGGATGTTTAAAACATGCAATCATTTTTTCTAGAGTCAACAATATTATTATTGTATAATTCTTGAAGTAAGGGAGTGTACATGTTGAAAGTTTGCTTGCTTTCCGTGTTAATCCATTCACCTTTTTCTTTATATTGATATCTTGTGTTCCCCGCCATGCTGTAATACTGGAATTGACCACAGACTTTCTGTGGTTGAATGAAAGAATAAGGACATCAATGATTTATCAACTTTAAACAATGTAACATTTCTCTGAAAAAAAGTCTTTTGTTCACTTTTTATGCAGCAGCAGAGAAGTGGAAAATGCCAGCCGAGTTTGTTGTCTATGGTAACACCTATATTCATACGTACAAACTGACACTTGCTTGACGTTTTTATCTTTTATTTGGAGAGGTTGCAGGGGCGATTTCTTTCTTATTAAGTTGAAAAGTTTTGGTAAAAAAAAATCAAAAGCAACTTATGAGTTTTATCATCATCATCAATGCCTTTCACCCCTGACAGGGTATAGGCCACATACAAGTTCCTTCCATTTCTCTCTATCCTGGGCCATCCTTCCTAGCTCGTTCCAAGTGAGCTTAATCTCTCTCACGTCCCATTCCACACATCTCCTCCATGTTTCCCGTTCATATCACTCAGAAATGTTTTGTATACAATTTCGATGAGCAGTTTCGTCACGGACAGCCTGAAGAGCAGGTTTTTAAAAAGTCAGCCGATTAAGTTAGAAACGGACTACGCTCAAAGGGAGAAAACTGAAACAAACCTGTTTCTCCGTGATATTAAGACTGTTCCCCTTGGTCCTAGGATGCCGCAAGTCTAAGAATTTAAAACATATTTTTAAAATAATGGCGCCTACAAAATACATATTAAGTCTTTGAACGTCTTTCCCCATGTTTAATATATTTTGTTTTGAGTGCAGCCCGACAAAACTGTTTTTCGAAGAGTTCAGATGCAACTAGTTAAACAAACGGACGAACAAACAAACAAACACAAATAAACAAACCAATAGACAAACAGATAAACAGTTTATGAATAAACAAACGAATAGACGCCGCCTTGTAAACATGTTTTGGATTTGTTAAAACAATTTCAGTTCTACATTTTGTAATAGGAGATGAATACATTATACATTTTGTTTGCCTACGGTATGGCACAACAGAGCCACAACACCTTTATTTTTCAAAGAATATGACGTTGCGACGGTGCATGGCATTTGATGTCGAAGTCCGTCTCCGATAATAAAAGGTCATTTGTTTTCCTAGTATCCCGGATAATGTGTCATATTTATTAAAGTACATGTACTAGCAAATAACAAGTGCAAGGGGTTTTGTTTCTTGCATGCGCATAAATGAATCCATTAAATTAAGATTAGTTCCAACGTGTATTTGTG